CCCAAGAAGTACCTTAAAAACACATAAAACCCCATAAAAATTACATCCCCTAATGGCCTCAATCTGGGTGAACAACATATCCAAAAATCACCCGGATCGGTTCAGGGGTTCAGGAATTTCCTGGAAGTCATAGTTTTGAGTGACGTCATGCATGGCCCCATGCCCAAAACAGTTCCAGGGAGATCACTGCTAACAGTCGGTCAAGTTCGGTAGTATTTTACAGGTTTCCCTGCAGGGTCTGTGGGCAGGAGGCTGGCAAGCAGGCTTCTCCAGGAGCTCGTGGCAAACTCTGGTAAAAAGGGGCGTTTGCCACATATCTTCCCCCTCCTGGGGAGACAATTCAGACCCCAGACCTCCAATCGGTCTGGGTCTGTGATAGTCTGGTGGCCTTTCCCAAAAGGCGTAGTTCTCCAGACGGCCTTCTGCCACAAGTGCCCATGTGTAGATCCAGTGTTCTGCGGGGAAACAACCTGGTTGGACCAAATGGTTGCTGGCGGCTGAGGGTGCAGTTTCCCTCATCCATGCCTGGTGGGCAGAGGCCAGCGGCGCTCTGCCCCGTAGTGAGCGGTTCAGCTGGGTTGGTTGGCAGGTCGTCAGACCCCAGAACAAAGGCCAGCTGCACTCTGCCCAGATGCCAGCTCTTCTGCTGGAAGGGGGTCAGTAGAAGAGCTGGATTGTTCCCTCTCCTGCACCTGGACTATGGTTGGGAATCTGAGTAGGCTGCCCAGCATCCTTGTAGGGCTGGCGCAGAGACCTCTGTCCCATCTGCACCATCCATGCTAGGGGGCTTGTCTCTGGAAGACAGCCCCAGCTGCTGGGGAGTGGGACTGACCATCTCCACTCCCTGTAACACACACTGCCACTGGGGAGAGAGACCGACCGACCCAATAATACATTCTGCCGCTGTGGAGGAAGGACGATACGCTCCTCTCCCTGTGACGCATACTGCCGCTGGGGAGTAGGACCAGTTGTCTCCACTCCCAATAACTTGCTCTGCTGCTAGGGAGTGGGACCAGTTGTCTCCACTCCCAATAACTTGCCCTGCCGCTGGGGAGTGGGACCAGTTGTCTCCACTCCCAATAACTTGCCCTGCCGCTGGGAAGTGGGACCAGTTGTCTCCACTCCCAATAACTTGCCCTGCCGCTGGGGAGTGGGACCGACCGTCTCCACTCCCTGTAACACACACTGCCGCTGAGGAGAAAGAACGGCACACCTCTCTCTCGGTGCTTCACACTGCCGCTGGGGAGTGGGACTGGTTGTCTCCCCTCCATGTAACACACTCTGCTGGGGAGTGAGACAGATTGTCTCCACTCCCTGTAAGATACACTGCCGCTGGGGAACAAGACCGGGTGTCTCTGTTCCCTGGACCTCATACTGCCGCTGGGGAGGAAGGACAACACACTTTGCTCCCTGTAACACACTCTGCCGCTGGGAAGAGAGACCGCCCGTCTCCTCTCCCAATAATACACTCTGTCGCTGAGGAGGAAGGGCGACACACTTCTCTCCCTGGAATACACACTGCCGTTAGGGAGTGAGACCAATTGGTGTTAGCAGTGGGATGGCTTCCTAGCCTTGGGAAAACAAGCACTACTGCAGTATGGAAGGCAATTACTGCTGGACAATATCCGGCTTCGACGCCAGACTCCAGCAGCGACTACAGGATGTGCTGCGCAGTATGGAGTACCCTATCACAGATGACAGAGAGACAGAGTGGAGGGTGGCGCTTCAAACAGATCTCTGGAAGGAGGACATCAACGAAATTCAACCCTTCTGGAGTCAGGAAATCCTGACCACCAACCAGCGCCAAGCGGAACAGCTAGAGCTGTGGATGCCGTTCCTGGGAAACTAGCCCTCAGAGAAATGGGTAAGCGAACTGGAGACGCTAGTTGAGACTGAGGTGTGGCTGTATGATTCCTATCGTACCCTGCTGTGGCATACCTACCACCTCTACTCGTGGCTGATCGAGAATAAGTGTATTGAGGGGGGAGACTACGATGGCCCTGGTTTGTTGTGAGAGACTTTGGAAACTAGTCTCTGGTTTGGAGACACTGACACTTCTGGTCCATCCGAGCTGAGCAGGCAGACAACTGGGACCTTTACTGATGTCGCTGCCATTCAGC